TATCTATCTATCTATCTATCTATCTATCTATCTATCTATCTATCTATTTATTTATTATGTATACAGTGCTCTGTCTGCATTTACATCTGCAGGTCAGAAGAGGGCACCAGATCTCACTATAGATGGTTGTGAGCCCTCATGTGGTTGCTGGGAATTGAACTCAGGACCTCTGGAAGAGTAGCCAGTGCTCTTAACCTCTGAGCCATCTCTCCAGCCCAAGAAAAAAAAAATCTTAATATGGTAAAAATGTTTATAAAGTAAAACCAAAGTGTGTGTGTGTTTGAGCTTTTGAAAAGAACATTTAAAATGTTAGGTAATGACAGCTGGCAAGATGACCCAGTGGGTAAAGACACTTAAAGCCTTAAAATCTGACTTAGATCCTAGGAATTCATGGTGGAAGAAGAAAACTTATGCCTGAAACTTACGCCATGGCATGTGCATCCCTGCACACACACAACACATTCACACATATACATACACACACAAACACACATACCCCCCACATACACAAACACACATACCCCACACACTCACACATATACACAAACACACATGCACATACACATTCACACACACTGAACAAACATGCACAGATACACACTTTATTCATTGAAAAAGATTTTTTCTTCTGATATGATTTTCATATGATATTATGATATTACAGTCTCTCCACTCCCAAATACTTCCAGATCTTACCCACCTCCTATTCACCCAAATTCTTTCTTATTAAAAAATAACAGATAACGTATAAAAATAATAAACTAACAAACAAACCATAATAGGACAAAACAAGCAAACTAACAGGAACAAAGAGCTAAGGACAAAGCACAAGAGACTCACATATCCACACATACGAAACCATGATATATAAACAAAAGAACTGGAAGATTAAAAACATACCCAGACAATTTTGGAGAAAAAAACCTCTAAAAATACAGTTGGGTTCATGTTGTGTTGACTGACTACTACTGGGCATGGGCCTACCCTTCAATGTCTTTTGTATATCCAGTGAGACTCCATTGGAGAAAACTGACTTTCTTTTGTGGTCAGTTGTCCATTGTGGATGGTTGATTCAGGGATAGGGCTGTGTCCACTTCTCTCAGAGCTGACCTCATCTGCCTTAGACCTGTGCTGGCCCTGTGCGTGCTGCCGCAGTCTCTGAGCTCCCGTGTGTATCAGTCCTGCTTTGTCCAGAAGACCTTGTTTCCTTGGTGTTAACCATCCCCACCGACTCTTACCAGCTCCCTGAGCACCCAGGGGAGAGTTTGTAGCTGGGTTGGTGTAGCCTTTCTCCTCTTGCAGTGTGCGGAGTTCCTTCCACTGCCACAGAAATTGTGCCCTGGATTGACTTCTCATGTTCAGTGAATTACGTAGTTTTGTCTTCAGCTACAGGGCCTTACATTAGTTTGTGGAGAGCAACCAAGATTCCTGGCAATAGCCCGAGTTGGTTAGGGGTTTCCACGGGCCCCTTTGGCAACAGCTCAGTTAGATGTGACCCATTTCTGGCACTGGAGGTTTCAATTGATAGTGAGAGACGTCTCGCCGGGACTGCATCTCCCCATTATTTGGTGATTCCATTTATATTTCCTTTACAGCTGTAATATTTTAAGAAGCTTCTACTACAGTATGTTTCCACATGACCTCTCAGTTTTCTTCTCCCCCACATTTCCTCTCTCATCCACATCTTCTTTTCCCCTCTGTAATTCCCCTGTTCCACTCCCCTCGTTCCATGCATCTATAATATACATCCTTTTCCCCTTTCCTAGGGAGATCTTTCTCTCCCCCAGAGCTCTACTCCATAGTTAACAATTGGGGATTGTACAGCCTGCTTATCAAAGATTTAACAGCTAACTTCCACATGGAAGTGAATAATACCATGTTTACCTTTTTGGGTCTGGGTTACCTCACTCAGGTTGATTTTTTTTCTAGCTCTGTCTAGTTACCTGATAATTTCATGATTTTGATTTTTTTAAATAGCTGAGTGACATTCCATTGTATAAATGTACCACATTTTCACTATCTATTCATCTGTTACTGGACATCTAGGTTGTCTCCAGTTTCTGGCTATTATGAATAGAGCAGCAATAAACGTGGTTGAACAAGTGTCATTGTAGTAGGACGTAGAGTCCCATTTTTAATTGCATTATTTGTTTTCATGATGTCCAGTTTTTTTAAGTTCTTAATATATTTTAAATATTAGCTCTCTATCAGATGTGTAGGTGGTAAAAACCTTTTCCATTCTGTAGGCTGCCACTTTGTGTGAATGGTGGTATCCTTTGCTTGCAGTAGATTTTCAGTTTCATGAGATCTCATGAAGGCTGGACATGGCATCCCAGCAGGAGGAAAAGAGTTCAAGAGCAGACAAAAGAGTCAAGGATGCCCCAGCTGGAGGTTCCACAGAAGCATCAACCTAATAGCACATCTGAAGAGGACCTGGTGCAGACCCCTGCAGGCCCTGTGCTTGCTGCTTCAGTCTCTGTGAGTCCATATGAGCCCCGATTAGTTGATTCATCAGGCCGTGTTCTCCTGGTGTTTTCCATCCCCTCTGACTCCCGAAATCTTTCCTCCACCTCTTCTGTGGGATTCCCTGAGCTCTGAGGGGAGAGGTAGAATGAAAACCTCCAGTTTAGACTCTCTCTCAATATAATGTCTGGCTGTGGGTCTCTGCACTCCCATCTGCTACTGGAGGAAGCCTCTATGATGCTGACTGTACAAGGTACCAATCTAGATCCATGATCTATGAGTATAGCAGAACATTTTTAAGAATTTTTTTTAGACTAGTCATGTTTGGTTTTATCTAGGGGTCTGGATTACCCAGTCTCTGTTTCTGGCCATCCACACAGGACAGGGCAAGGCTCCTTCCTGTGGAGTGGGCCTCAAGTTAAATCAGACATTAG